TGCATACTGAATATTTTCAGTTCAAGGAAGGTGCAAGGTGTGCAGTTATCTCAAGCTGCTGCACAGCACAGAGAGTACAGATCCGATTGTAGAGGACAGTGAATCCCTACTATTTTGGTCTTATGTACCCTCATAGCCTAATAGGAAGAGTTCAAGAACTGTTTCATCAACTGCACCTGTCATGGCCCAAATGTGTTAACTTAAATCACACTGCATGTTATATAACACTAATACATTGTATAGTGTCCTCCAAGTTCAACACATACGTTGTTTATCCATGCCCTCAAGAATGACACGTAGAGGCATTTTCTGATCTGACACCCCTATCAGCAGTATTTATTTGTGCCTTTCTAAACACTTACAGCTCTCTTTTGAAAGAGAAATCCATTTTATGATGTCACAATGCTATACGTAAAGTTTGGTTAGTTTTAGGCATAAAAACGACGGTTAAAGATTTGGGTTAAAACGACAAGACAAGATTAAGGGACCTTCAACGCCATGCTTACAATAATAAACACGAGATGAGGGTTATGGAGCGATCATGGTAGTGCTTAAATAAACACGACAGTGGTCTTCCGTGTTAAAGTCTTATTGTGTCATCGTCTAGCCATTCCAACCTCCTCCCTATGCAGACTCTGTCACTCTAAAACATCACCTGGCTCACTCCTTTGCACTCAACAAAATTACTACAGCGACCAGAAGGGTTTTGTTACTTGAATGTGAATGTTTGAGGCACAATGATTGATGCTGTTGTTGTGTTTGGGAGAACAGTCTCTTTTCGCAATTTTAAAAATGTAGGTGAAGTTTGACAGTCTTTCCCAAACAGTTGGTTTGTATTCAGTACCCTGTTATTACCACTCACACTGCTTTTAGATGATTATATACTAATGAAAACATAGTTATGCATATTATATTCCTATATTGCCAAAAGATCCTCTTATATGTTACACGCTGGACCTTAACTAGTTTTTACACAATCTCAATTGCAGCACCAGGTGTTACAACATGCTGTGCAACTGACCCAACCACAGCTGGCAGTTTCAGAGGTAGTGGTATAAGACATTTTATCTGTTTAAAGGGAATTTAACTGTTATCACAGAGGTCTATCAGACCAGTAAGAAAAACACTTGGACACCACCTCTTGTACAAACACACAAGTAACTTTTAAGTTAATACGCCAAAAGAAAACTACTAAAACTAACAAATAAGTGTAAAGAGTATTTGTGTGTTGTGTCTTTAAGAAGAGTGCTACAGAAATGTTTATGATTGTTGTTGTTATTATTATTAATGAAGACCATACTTGCAGTAAAATCCATTTCAAAAATGCACTGTTTCAAGGGTGTTTTTATTGAATCAAAAATCTATTCAACCGAAAAGCACTCTTTCCCTCTAAATGTATTCCACCCATCATAAACAGTGTATGAGCTGCCAGCGGGACAGCTGGGCTCAACCATACAGTTGAAAGCACCAGTGTGAGATGCCATTCATACTGTCAAGGAGCTTCCTCTTAGAAAGAGTGTTGTGTGCTTGCCAGCTTAATAAATGCTTCTGCTATTAATTAACTTAATTCAAACTTGCATTTATGACTGAAAACTAACAATTCTGCCAGAGATCTCTTCATTTTTTGTTGCGTTTTCTCACCACACGCCACTGAGAACCACGTGCTGTATATGCACTTTCTTTCCATCCAAACACAATAATTTCACTGATTATTTTCCTCTTTAGTTGAAGGTGTGTGAATACTGGAGGCTGGAGATTTTGGTGATCTAAGAAAATGCTAACTTGTCATCAAATGAAGGAGGTAA